CTTTTAAAATCTGAGTGTCATTCCTATATCCTCACAGACTTCACTTCCTGGACTTTGCTTTTCTATGTATGCCTTTCAGAAGCTCTACATCTAGAACTGTGATGCTAAACAGTTTTCTCATCCATTTGTTTGAAAACAGCCTGTTTTCAAACAATTTCTAACACAAATTGAAAGATTTCCATAAAAGGAATCAAACAAACTTCTAAGCTCACTCATTTTTGCATTTCATATTTCTTAAAAGAAGCCACCCTTTTACTGCTTTTGTCCACAGTGGAATTTAAGAATAGATTATTCAAATCTTTTTTTTCCCCTGATTCTTTATCATTCAACTTGAGATTATTCTAATCTTGACTTGATTCTTATGCTCCTTTAAAAAGAGCATACTAATTTGGGATGGTTGGTTATTTTCTTAACCTTAGCAAGCCAACTAATTTCCTGTGGAAGCAGAACTGGAAACAGCAGATATCCACCATGCTGATACAGGACCTTACACAGTCACTGTCTTGACAAGTCATGTCATTTTCTCCCTCTTCATCAGTACTTTCTCTGGTGACAAGTTAGTATGGGCCACTTGAACCTCAAAACTGGACCTCTCACCCAACGCCAAATGAAGGAGCCACGATGATGTTTCTTTTGAGTCATTTGCAGTGACACTTTGCTAAGCAGGCTGCCTTAGGTTTCCCTGTGGCAATGCTAATAGATTGATCCCTCCTTCAAAGGGGCAAAAATGTCATTTTGGTATGATAACTGACTTTCTATTTACAGTTTCTGGCCCCTAAAGAAAAACCAAGTGAAGACACAGCAGCCGCATTTGAAGAAGGTGGTGATGTGGAAGATTTAGTAAGTACTTTTAATATGCACCTGGTGTTCTGTGATTGAAATTGCCTGAGTTATAAATACAGCCACAAAGGCTGATTATCATAGACTTGTTACTTTGTGTTTTAATTTCCAATACACTAGAAGCTCCCTACACTATTATTTATTGCCATTATAAATGTAATCAGATAGGTAGTTTCATAATGGAAATTCCTGTGTTCCATGGTGTTAGCTATATTGTTCATTCAGATTAATCCTCTTTTGAAGGGCTGAAAAAGAGCTAGGGAGACTATTCCATTAGTAGCAAAATGTTGTAATTCACTGAAATTGCTCTTAACGAAAAATAAATAATACAACATGCAATTTGTGTGGATTGACAAATAAAAACAGCCTTTAAAAAGGCTACTTCTTAAATGTTCTCAATTAATTTAATGTAAACAAAATAGACGGATAGGCATTTGAGGATTTCTGGACCCCATTACACCATGTTGTTGATGCCTGGGAAGCTGTGTAAATGTTGGCCTTTGTATCTGTCTTTAGTTTGGAAACTTCCCGACTTTAAGCTTCACATGACAACTGTCCCACAAAAGTGATATACTATGATGTCAACCTTTTTTAGACACGTTCTCAGTACTAAGATGAGTGGATACTTGGATGTTTAACTCCTAAAATAGTGAGCGGTGAATAAGTGTGCAGGTATATGCATGCCTTCCAATGTAGAGAGTCACTTTCATTAAACCCTCTCTCACCAGAGAAGCAGTGGTATGGCATTGGCCTGGTTCCTTTCTAAGTGTGTTGTTCTTGTTTACAGTTGGACATGATATAGGTCATGGATGTGTGGGGAATCTAAGAGAGCTGCTGTCGCTGTGATGCTGGAAGTTCTAACAAAACAACTTGGAGGCGGCCATTCAAGGGGAGTCAGAAGCTCTGGAGAAATTCTCAGCAGGTTACCCGGAGGCAGATCACCTAATTCTCTCTGGAATGAATACACACATATATATTACAAGAGATAATTTAGACCCCATACAAGTTTATAAAGAGTCATTGTTATTTTCTGGTTGGTGTATTATTTCTTCTGTGGTCTTTACTGATTTTTGTATATTATATACATGCTTTGAAGTTTCTGGAAAGTAGACCTCTTCTTGACCTAGTATGTTGGTGACAGTTGCAGCCCTTGTGATGTGATTAGTGTCTCATCTGGAACCATGGCATGGTTGTTGATGAGTTTCTTAACCCTTTCCAGAGTCCTTTGTCTGATCCTTCAGTAGCAGTCACAACTTAACATTGAACAAGCAATAGCATTTGCTTCCTCTCAACAAGCAGTTGGGTTAGGAAAACCATGGGTAAGGATGGACTCATTTCTCTGTTTAGTTGAGGCCTTTTAATTACCACATTACTTTGGCTCTGTATATAGGTGGTTTTCTTTAAGTGGGGTGGAATGGGGAGCACAATTTCCCTTCATACCCTTTTTAAGCAGTGAGTTATGGTGGTGGTCTCATGAAGAAAAGACCTTTTGGCCCAATCTCTGCTATATGAATGAACTTTTAAAAATTCAAAAACTGAAAAATTTACTATAGTAGGTAGAATTATATCATTTCATTAATCTCTACTTGCAAGTCTCAGAGAGAGAAAGTTGCATTATATTAAAACATTTATGTTAACTTTTTGGTCTTTCCCATTTCTACCTAAGTCAGTTTTCATCTTTCTAGATGATGTCTCCTTTACTAAATAAGAAAATAGCAAAGCCCTTATTCTCTTTTTTTCTTGTCCTCATTCTTTCCCTGAGTTCCAGTTCCTCTTTGCTTGGTGTACAAACTTCTTGGTCACCTCTGTTTTCAGCACCCTCAGAAGTGGTCACTAATACACTATTTTGCGTATGTAACATTAAAGGTGTAAATGACTCATTTCTCTGTGAATCGCTGCTAATTACTGTCTGCAAAATACTTCTTCAGTGCTGTGCTGAGAATTTAACACCCTTATCCATTGATTGAAAATGGATCTGCAAGATAGAACATCATTCAGCTGAGGAGAGTGCTTTACTTTGGGCTTCAAAAGGACATCCTGTCAATACTATACACAGTTGCATCAAACTTGACATACAGATGCCCATTTAAAGCAACCCCAACAAAGGATGACATATCATAGTTTCTGGTTGGATAGTGAAAGCCCAGGGGTTGTTTGTGACTTGGATAAAACTGAGACATTCTTAGAACCACAGAGAGTGGAAACTTCAATCTCTGAAATTTTCATTATTCTCATCAGATCCTTCCAGCAGTATGAATCAGCTCAGTAAGTATGGCTTCATCAGCAACTCCTGTCTTTGGCAGCCTGGGGAATTTCTTGGAAACATCAGTCCTTTTGTCATGCTAGGAAAAGTTTAAATCAAGTTAGTCCTTTAGATCTTCTGATACTTTTTGACTTGAATGTAGCAGGATTGTTTATTTCCAGATCCATTTCACATAGGCGCAGTATACATACTACGTAGACTTCATCAGAGCATACTGTTTTGAGTAGGAACATCATGTTTTACATGAATACATCAAAGTCCCGTTTCCCTGAAATGAGATTGGCAGATCTACAGAACTCACAGGTATTCTGCTGAGTGTAACCTTGGAGGACAGCAAGTCCTCATTGCGCCATGGGCTGCTCCTCAGAATCCCAGCAGTCCTACAAATGATAGGTTTGTCTGCGTCTGTGATTGCAAGTCACTGACTATGGTCCTTGTCACCTTTCACCTTTTTCTTCTGTGTCACTAAAATTTATTGACTTAAAGAAGAGTCATCCTCTTTGTGACCCCTCCCCCCGTCACAACTCAAATGACCTTATGCATTTCCAAATACCCCCTTGACATTATGTGCTGCTCCTCATTAAGTACCTCTATTTTAAATGATGGATTTTAGTCCTTTGCCAGTTAATTTACATACAAGATTGAAAAATTGTGTTAGGATTAGGCAGCTTTTTTTTTTTAGAACCAAGTCCAGGATGGCTTTGAAAATGAATGGACACCGATTGTACTTCTGTTATGGTTATGTGTGGTGCTAATGACTGACTTTGCAGTTAATTTTGATTCAGGTAACAGATGTTCTGTTTGGTCCCCTATCTCCCATGGGCATCATTTCATATTATCCCCTGCCTTCCTCCAGATAGTCTAAGTTCAGGACGCAAGCTTGTGGCTCATGCAGAGTAGACGCCATGAGGGGTCACGGCATGAGTCCGGGAGGAAACCCGGGGCTAACCCAGATCCCGGACTTGAGTCCTGCCGCTGCTGCTTGCTGCATGGCTTCTGTCAAGCTGTTAAACCTGTGACCTGCCTCACAGGCTTATTAAGAGCATGCCTATCGATCTTCTCTGTAAACCCTAAAATGCCTTCCACAAATCAGGTGGTTTCATAAAAATTCCAAATAGAGGGCCTGGGCATAACTTTTTTTTTTTTTTTTTTTTTTTTTTTTTTTTTTTTTTTTTTA